CAGAGCCGCAGCTGCCGCCTTGCTTAGCACTGCGCGACTGCACGGCCTCCCGCCCCTGCGCTGACCCCAGCGCCGCACGAGAAATCCGAATAAATGCACATCACTTCCAGAAGTCACATCTTCCCTCAGCAGGGATGCTTGGAAACACCTCCAGCAGACGCACAGATTTTGCTTAGGGCTTGGAACATGCTTCCCGTCTCAGCTCCTACCTTCTGGAACACTGGCGGGCTCGGCAGGGGGGGGCCGAAGGAGGGGACGTCTTCCCGGGCCGTGACAGACACCTGCGGCACCAAGAGAAACGTCATTCCCCAGCGCAGACATCCCTCTCCTGGACGGCAGTGGTGTGGGGCAGGCGATGCTCTCCCCAGCTCAGTCCAGTCCAGCCCAGTCTAACCCAGTCCAGCCCTGCCGCCCCAGTGCCCGAGAGCCCAGGGGCATCCCAGAGAGACCGCTCCTCCGCAGCGGCCACTCCTGCTGTCACGAGAGGGTTAACCACGCACAGCCCCTTGCATTTCTTTCCCGTGAACTCTGTTTTCACTCGTGGCTCTAAGCAACGCGCTTTCGGTTCGCAGAACTGCGTGTTGCCGGCTCTCCTCATCGAAAACAGCTACCAGGGTTTTGCTGCCTGCACTTGAGCCATGTGCTGGACGGGCAGGAGCTGTTCTGAGGCTTATCCAAATACTGAGCAGCATGAAAAATCTTTAGTAAACGAGCAAGCTATTACACGTGCACATATTGTATACACATCTGTATGTGTACATACACACAGCGTAACAGTACACACACCAACATGTGTCTGTGTGTATATATGTGTCTGTTTAATGCACAGATACCTGTTCCAGGTAGGTGTGACACTGGTTCCGTCACCGAGCCGACGGGCAGGCAGGCAGGGCAGCCGCCTCCAGCCCTCGGCCCGAGATGCCAACGCAAAACCTGGCACGCGCTGCGACTCCCCTCACCCTGTACGCCGTGCTGTCTGCCTCGGGGCTTTCCACCTGCACCACGATGTAGGCGTGCAAGAAGTTGGAGGCGATCATGTCTGGGACAAACGGCGTGTTCTCTTCTTGGAAGATGATTGCCACGATGTCATTGCCAATGTGCCTCTTCCTCTGGAGCTAAGCGGAAAGGGAAACATTTGGTCGGCAAAGCCGGGCAGTTCTGCTCCCGCAGGAG